CGTCTCAACTGTGCTGCAAAGTCTTTGCGACTAAATAAAAACTAAAACTTCCACATTACTTAAAATGATAAAGTATTTGTTTTTGGAAATGTTAATTCATTATTGTAAATTGGTATACATTGTTACAATTTAATACAATTATACAGGACTTAATCAACCTTAAAGGACCAGTGTGTAGGATTTAGTGGAATCTAGTGGTGTAATTGCAGATCGCAACTATGTTGCTTTGCCCTCCTCTGCAAGCACAAAGGAGGAACTATAGTGGCCGCAAAATACAATTGCCCACTTAGATTTTGGTTTGTACCTTCTGGGCTACTGCAGCAACAGGTTCAATGTGGCGGACTCCATAGCAGGTAAAAAACACAGCGATTCTTATTTTCAGGGGATGATACATTCGTGAATACATACCTAAGAATATTATATTCCATTTCTGGATGGTGATTATGATTATAAATCAAAGAATTAATTGAAATTTCAAGTCCTTTAAATTACTTTAAGTTGCTTTCATCTTTTCCACTGATATTTCAATTACTTTCAGTGCTTCTGACGACTAAACTTCATACAGGTCTTAAAGGCTGTTTTCACATACAGTTACACTAACTGCTTTCACTTTCACTTCAAGACCTTCAACTTAAAGTGTAAGTGCCATACCATATTTTACATGCAGAGAAGTAATATTTAACCTGTGCCTGCAATCTTCAATCAGTGTAATTTATTTTGCAAATGTTAAAAATTGAATTTTTTACATACATATCCACAGTGGGTGATGCATTAAATGAAACAGAGGAAAATACAGTTACTTTTATTCGATGTGAATCGTCTGTGGCACTTGGATGTATTATTAGTATTAGAATCCTTGTGCACTCTGCCTCGCAGGCTGCAATGCATCATCAGGAGTGTCCAGCCTCAGGGTCGGCCAGGCTGCAAATGGTCCTGCCGACTGCCTGTAAGGCTGCTTTGTCAACTGTCATGCCAAAACTGGTCTCTACTGTAAAGCAGCTTACCCGTGTAGGAATGTGTTAAGGTGCTCCCCAGAGCTGGGTGAGTAGGAGTAGCCATGCGAGTGACAGACTAAGAAAGGAGGGATTATGGTTCCTCCTATCTAACTAAGAAGCAGGTTCTTCCCAGAGCCCCAAAGCTTTGATCCACTTTGCCTTATTTGTGTGATTTCCCAAATTCCCGCAGTAGTTCCAGACAGCCAGGTCAGATATGAGAAGAGTTGGTTAATGTTGGAAGAAGTTTACTCTCCTTTCCTCTTGCAAAACAAGAAACCAAAATGTAAAGAAATTCTTATCATGGAAGAAAGAAAGCAACATAAAGAGTAAGAAGCTCTTTTTCAGTTCGACCAAATGGTTTGATTAGTATCTCTGTTTCGATGGATACAGAAAGCTCTTCTGCTTTCTTGAAAGATTAGGTTAAGTGTGTGTGCTTGAATGTCAGCCTGCTGTGATAGACCGATTCAAATGCTGCCACTTGTCTTCCGCAGTTGGTCATTAAAGAAGTGATATATGGACTGGTTAGCTGTGTTCTGCCATGTGCTTAAATTTCCATTTGGCAGACTGCAATAGAGTGGACAGAGATGGACAAGGGAGAGATTTGTAATTTCACACCCAGCTCCTCATGGCAAACTGGATGGAGAAAGGCTTGAGAATAAGGGCAAATTAAAAATTGGAGGTTAAATTTGTGCAATTTAAAATATAAATAGACCTCTAAAATCAGGTAAGTCGCTTACAAGTTTAAAGGTAGGGTAGATGACATTGGGGAAGCTAGCAAGAGACAGCTAGATTTTTAAATCCCTTCCCTTCATCCCTCTTTCCAAAGCCAGTCCACCAAAACACATTCATGTGCAATGAATGCACAGAGTGCGCACAGGTAGACAGGGGGGTAGGCTTATTAATGACCTGTGAGAGACACAGACACAGATGTTTTTTCTCAGATCATTTGATTTGTTGATCGGATTCAACATTTTGCAAAGCCATGAAACAATGCTGAAATTTAAACTACATTTATCTGTCAGGTGGGGGAATACATAGTTCATCTAACTAATGTATTGGAAAGAAACAATCTAGCCTAAGTATAAAAAAATGAACTACATAAGGAATCTGTCATTGTGTAAAATATGTTGGTCCAATCAGAAAAGACAACCTGGAACCAAGTATGAAGAAAGGCTCGAGCACCAGTCCTGAACTGGTCTCGATTATGTTTACAGAACAGGAACTGTTATGCTTATCTAAGCCCCCAGTCAACTGACTGTTCACAATGTGCCTCCGCTGACCAGCAATTGCCTAATCATTGCCTTAGCAACCGTAACCAGGCACAACCACAGGCCTGTTGAGACTAAGGATTTCTCTGCATGTTAAAGTGGCATGGAGCTGTAGTCAGAGATTAGTTAGCAAAAGAAATTGTGCTATGTGTTTAGCATGTACAGCTAACTAGCTTGTGTGTTACTTTCAAAGCCAATTGGAAGATATCATGAACTAATCTAATTATGTTAGTTTGTGGAGCTACAGGTTATGTAAATGGATAAAACCCAGTTCAGACCAAAGTTGAAACCTGCAGCTACTAGTTCATGCAACCGGACGAGATAGTGTATCCTCTTCATAGCAACAACTCTCGCACTATCTATAATTTGTAGCATCCTAAAATATAAAATTATAATGGTGATAGTGAGTTACTTGCTACAGTTGCATTTTATTGATGAAACAATGAGGACTGTCAGTGAAATAAAAGGGTTGAGAATTTGGAGCCATCCACAGGTGCATGGGTGCATTTTAAGGTTTGTGTCAAACAAATGAATGACGTGATCCTCTCTTTCGTCTGTCCAAAATTTTGTTTAGCTGATGAGCCGATTGGCTGTTGAAACAGGTAACATGTCTTACACACTACAACCAGCCACTTGAGATCTGACAATGCCATCAGCCAACTTCTTTCAAGGGGTCTGCTAAAGCCAAGTGTGCCGAATAGTAGCAGTCAGACGAGGTTGTACACTCGATGTTCCTCCGACCGCCTGTGGTGCCTCAGCTCTGCTGCCTCACTTCAGTGGCAAGGTAACATTAGCAAGTGAGTCCACAGATTTGTTGTCATTGTAGAGTTAGACTGCTGTCCTACAAAGTGGACAGAAGCTTCTAAGATGCTTTGGTGTCGCAACAGTCTGCTCAGGACAGCTTTGCTCGCTAGTGTCCATTTTTGTAGCAAACAACATAACATTACTGCTGAGCTGATAATGGAGCGCCTTCTGCTGGATTTTGAACTTAAACAGGTTACGCTTTCAAATAAAAAGCCGTCATCTCAGTAAAAACATACGATTTGCAGATACAAACGGGTATGTAAGCTAAACAGCTTAAACACTAAAAGTACATAAGTATAAAATGTAATTATTAAATCTTCCTCCCAGGAAGATAATATTATTTATTTGAGAACGTGCCTTAGGTGACAGTGGACACATAAAGTGAAGCACACTGCATTGCTTTCCTCCCCTGCTTGGATCCTCATCACTCTTGCAGCATTTTTTTGCAGAGACAGGTGTTCTGCTGTTGCTAGGAAACATGTACTCAGCTTTCAACCACTCGCGTGCTGTGGGAGACACATGATAACAATCAACAGCAGCTACGTTCAGGTGGTCAAAAACAGTAATACGGTCTAAAGTGTTACTGATCCTCGCTTTTATTCCTCTAAACTGTCTATGAAAACAATATTTCCGGCTGGTCAGCAACTAGAAACTCTTTTAGTTTCCATTGAACAGCAGCCACAGTGCCATCTTATATTCAGCTGATATTTCCAACATCCTCTAATATTTACTGTACACTCTGTAGTGGGGTTTGAGTCTGTGCTTCACATGGTAATGTCCCATGTTATTCCTCAGTTATCATCTTAAAGCTGTAATATGTAAGACCTGAGACTACACTCCACCTGTTGAAATTCATACTCCAAAACGGTATGGGGAAGCAAATCACGCATCAGGTCTTAACTGCTACTAACTGCCTTACTGAGCTAGTGAGCTCAGTTATCTGTGCAGCTGACATCCAAAATGGACCAAACACAGTCCGAAGGAGGGCAGTTTGTCAACAGGGAATACAGTAGGTGATTTAGTGCCGCTCCAACCAGGACTGTGACTCTGTAATACCAGGGATGGCACAGACATGGTGGGTTCAGGTGGGGAAAGCAGAGGTGTCCAGTGGGAGAGGAATGAGAGAGAGGTTGTTACGAGTTTGTGTTAGAGTTTGAATGAAGTGTTTTTTACGATGAGTTAACAAGGCGATTCTGCATATGCTAGTCTTAGTTTGATTAAAGGGTGAAACTTGAATTCAGAAGGTGTATGCTTGTATTTTTCTGTTTGATAAGGAAAACTGCATAAAAATATTTCCTTGTAACATCACATAGTGTAACATAGGAAATAGCTAGCTTGTTAGTATGCTAAGTTTGTTTAATATCTTGGCAACAGATAACATATATGTCTTTGACATAACATCAACACTATTATTTCCGCACACTTGATAATTTAGGTCATTTTTTTAATATTTTAAACTAAATATAAAATTCTTATACACTACTCACAAAAAGTTAGGGATATTCCACTTTCGGGTGAAATTTATGGAAAATGTAGTTGATGCTACAGTGATATTATATCATGAAAGTAGGGCATTTAAGTAGAAGGTCAAATTAAGATCACCTGGAAAGGTTATAGTGCATTTTATGTACATTCTGAAATTTCATCCGAAAGCCGAATATCCCTAACTTTTTGTGAGTAGTGTACATTGCACCTTTAAGTATGCCATATGGCTTGTTTGATAAGGCAGCAGCCTTCTGTGCCTACATGCTTTGTGAGTGACATTTCTTTTTTCAAGCCCTCACCTGTTAATTGTCATGAGTGTACTTCAGAAAAGGTCAAACACTGTTCTGCTAAGTGGTGAGTGTGTGTGTGCATGAGTGCATTTGTGCTTGCATACCCGTGAGAGAGCCTATGTGGCAGCATACTATAAACAGCAGTCAGTACATCAGAGTGTTGTATATCTTCATTCTTTTATTATTTCTTTTTAGAATGAAATGAAATAACATTGTTTGAGAAATGTGTGATATACAGTTAAACATGGCTGATCTCAATGAAAACTAGGCCAAGACACATTCAGGTTACAATATTCATGTACAGGTCTGTACAGAAGAGTACAAAAAACAGATTTCTAACTGCATTTGCAGTTTGAATGGTTTGCAACATTAAAGGGCTATACAGTGTTTTTTCATGTATTTCATTCAATGCGGCTGTCTGGTGGATCTGTGGACTGGGGAGGTTGATGTTGGGTTGATTTAAGTTCTAAAGGAGTGGCTAAAGCTTCAACAGATTTAACAACTACACAGATACTGTACAAGAACACAGAGCCACATCAACCAATACAAAGCATAGCTAGTAACCGTCACTAATATTAAATACAAAAAGTTAAAAATGACCAGTCATGGTATGATAAAAACAATACATAGCGGCTGAGCTTTTTTTGAAAATGTACTGCTGTTTTATCATCAGGAACAGTGTCAAATATTTTCAACACTAAAACTGGGGCACTTTGCGAGGTTCAGTGGGCAAAAGCTATCGTAATGCATCAAGGTAGAAAATACCCTTCACACCACTGTAGAATTTTTTTAAAAATTTTTTTATAGATTACCCATGCTAGCAACATGCCTCTATAGAGTGCTTTAGGAATGAGTCCTAAAACTCAGAAATGAGTTAGCATTTTTGCACTTCCGGTTCCCTTGCTGCCAAGTCAATGGGTTCTTTGAATGGGTTTTTCCTGAAGTAAGGTCTTTGGTTAACACAAGAGTAAGAGATTTTCAAGTTTTATTCTGCAACATAAAACACATCAGTGAATGAGTGTCTTAAAAAAGGTGGTTGCTAACAAGTGGCTAAAAGAGACTACAGAGGTTGTCATGACAATGTCAGCGTGCCAAACACGAAGACTTATCTACTCACTAATGCAAACTATTCAAACTAACTAACTCAAACTTTACAACTTGTAGGATTTAATTTCAATTTTTACTTACAAGTTGGAAGTGGTCATGTGACCGTAGTGTAGTTTATTGCCTGATGTTAACTTTTTACTTCTAGAATCACAATCTTCATCTGTGAAAAAACTAAAAATGTATCATAAACCTTTGTTTGCCACAGTTTTTTTTCTGCAATAATCCAAAATCCATCCCATTGACTTTTGTCAAAGGAACCAGGGTGATGCTCAATTCCAGGTTTGGCGGACAAGAACATCTCTGTAGCACTATGGATGGCAATGTTGGTCATGAGCCCTGGTGATTTTGGTGATCTCCTGACTTTTCCTCTAATGCCACCAGTATGTCAAAGTATTCTTGTGAAATATCAAATCATCTACTAGATGGATTGGCAAATGTATACAAATACTCATTTTTCATAAAATTTGGTACGGATATTCATGTTCCCCTCAGGATGATTTGCAGTCAATTTCAATTTGTCCAATACTATGAATCAGCCCCAGATGCATTTTTGTGCCTAAGTACAGCCTTACAGAGCTTCTATCATTGCAGCAGATGCTTTTATAATCTGCTAAATTGACTCCACTCTTTCATGGGACTTTGTATACACTCACAGTACATCTCCTCAACTTTTGGTGTTTAGCCTGGTAAACATAAAAACAGGCTACATAATAAAAAATTATAAAGTAGGACTTCATAGTAACGTAATCACTACAGCCTATTATAATGAAATACATTGATTTCCTTTTGCAGCAAATTGAAATAAGTGTATAGAAGCTTCTCTCATAAAATTAAGTAAAACCCTTGTGAATAAAATGGTCAAGTGTTGATTCATTCATCCCATTTGTTTATATTAAAGCAAGCCAACTTCTGCAGAAGCACATTCACATAATATAAATTGTAAGTTACATGTTCTCTGCGGGTGCACGCATGGAGAAAGCATTACTCTTACATACTGTGCACGCCTAGACTTCAGAATACTGACAATACAAGCAACAAGTCACTGCTAGTCCATTTATTTTCTAGAAAGGAAAACATTTCGAATAATATGATTATGATGAACCATTAAAATGCATGTCTATGGCTCCTGGGAGTGTATTTCAGGGTTATTTGTGTATAACTGAAAAGAATAAATGAGTGAAAAAAAAAATTTCTTTCACTCATTAAAGGGATTATTAAAGTAGTTCTGCTTCTATTTTACAATTTGCTTATACAGTGGCTCAAGTTTGTAATCAATACAGTCAATAACAGGGTGGACGATTAATCTTACATGGCAGAAATTAGTAGTGTACGGTAGATGCCAGACAAAACCGTCAATATTGCACAATCCTGCAAAACCCCTGATTCCGTTCAGTGCCACATCTTTTTAAGTCCATTGCTATCATTTTCATAATTCTCGCTACTGTAATCTCTACGCATAGAAACTATGGTATTGTTTGTAAAGTTTGTGGTTATGAGCTACCCGACATCATTCATAAGAGAGCGACTCATCATACAAGCTCCATTCTCTTGGCCTTTCAAAATGCTTAGAATCATAGATAAATGCTAATTCTCCGTAGCATGTGAGAGCCCAGATTGTTTCACATCTTCGTGTTGCTCCTAAAGGAAACTTTGGAGTCCCCAGATCACTGCCTGCCACTGATTCCTCAAGCAGCAGCTGGTGGGGAGACATCAGAACAGGTGCTCCTGTCTCTGGCCCCCCACAGACCCAATGTTACATTTCAGGTAGGCATGCTTGTGTCTATGCATCACTTCATTTCCAACATGTGTTATTTGCTCCACATGCTCACTACTGTTTTGTACAAATCCTTAACCAAATAATTGCTCACTTCTCCGTGTCTGTGTCTACCCACTTCACATTTTTAAAAGGCTGTTGTGAATGCAGAAAACTGTTATCTATTAACAATTCCAATAGACATTCATATTACAGTCTAAGCAGTGTGATGATTACCTGGACCCACCCTCTATTCAACAAAAAGTGTTATTAAAAAGCTGCTTGTGACAAAGCCAAGAGAGGCAAGAGAAGTCAGTGGTAATGATGTAAGTGATTTATACAGCTGTCACTGCAACTTGGATTCAATAAAGAGTAATACCTACTCTCTGCCTCTCTTTCTTCTAACATCAAAGCCAGGTTTATCCACAGATGCTCACACAAAATAGCACAAAGGAAGGTTACATCAGAACTTTTGCGGTGGAGAAAGCCAGAAGCCAGTGTTCTAGAGAAAGTACGTTCCGAAATGTTAAATATTAAAGCATACAAAACACAGAAATAGTGGAGTTATTTACACCATAGAGCACCAAGCAAGTGTGAATGATCTAAAGTCCAATAAAAACACTTACATAGAAATATACTGTATAAAACATTTACATATCAGTATTTTAAAAGATACTCTTTCACTGCTTGTCCTTCCTTTTTTTTCCTTCCATTGTCATATTTTGTTTTTTGATTTCACTAATGTGTTTTTATTACGTTATACTAAATAAAAACACTTACAATAACATATAATAAAATATGCATCAGAAATAAAACCACAGTGGGCACTTGACCGCACATGACAATGACGGTGACCCCAGTACCAGATCAGCCTGTGCTAACAGTCTCCAAACCGGTACCAGAATTTCATTGATGAAAATGAATCAGTAACCACGAGGTGGGTTTACAGTATGAGAGAGTGTGCCCCATCGCAGCCCAATCAGTACGCCGTCTCTTTGATGATGTTGGTGGAGAGGGTGTGGTTGCTGGAGATGCTGATGGAGTGGCGGGTGAGGGGGTGGGGGTGCCTCCTGGGTGTATGGCGGCAGGGCACACAGAAGTACCGTAACGTGGAGAAGAAGATCTGGCGGTAGGTGGCAGACACCAGGTTGTAGAGGATGGGATTGATGGCCGAGCTGACGTAGAAAAGTACGTTGGTCAGCATGTAGAAATAGTGGTAGAAGTCATACAAGTCACTGTGAACAAAACAGAAGACAGAAAGCAATTGTTATGTGTGGCATATTTAACATATTTCTTGAATATAAAAAGGTGGCATCAATGCAGGATTATCAAATTATATACACAGACTTTTTACTGCATTGGGACACAAATAACTTTTGGTCATGACATTTTTGTGACTTGAGTCCAAAATCAGTTTTGTCCCAATGTCTGCAATTAAACACAGCAAATCTCTTCTACAGAGAGCACCTTGCAACACCACGGACGCCATGAACGCAGCATTTTCATTGCCAGGTAACTTTATGAAGGAGTAAGCCTCCTAGAGCTCTTTAGAAATGACTGACAGCTAACTGTTAGCATACTGACAGGTAGAAAGAGTCCTAGGCTACTGACAGCCTTGACAACTGACTGACACAAATACAGATCAATCAACCAGTATCGAATTGCATTGCTTAATTGTTTGTTTTTATATTGGAACAGAACTGGGACAGAATATTAGAAACATCTATTTAAGTGCTGAAAACAAGTATAATATTATAATAATATTTTAATTGTGGTAAAAACTGGGACAGTTCAGTGTTTGAGATAGGTGTTCAGATGTCAGGACTCAGGACACCCAGTTTGAAACTGGGACAATCCCAAACAGACCAGGATGTCTGGTCAGGGTAGCTACTTAGCATGTCAGCAGTTAGCTCGCCAACTTCAGAAGTTTGCCTAGTAGCCCTGTGAGTAGTTTTACAACCTTTTAGAAGTACATATTTCACAAAGGATTGGTGCGACTTGGCCTTTATAATTATTTACTTAATTTAATTTAACATCAAAACACTAAAATATAAACTGTAATATATCTAGGAGGACAAAGAACATGTGGTTATGTTTTTTCCCAAATGTATGCATCTGAAACAAATATGAAGTACAGTACCTATAAATACGTCTTTTGAATTAAGTATGTCAACTGTCCCGTCAGCGAGCGAGCCAACAACCTTGCTCGGAGAGTTGTTTTTCCACTTTCTAGTGCTAACATTTTTCCGGGTAGCCAGCACATGGATGTAAAAAGGGACCTGGATACAGCTCAGTTCATTCCTACAAAAGCTGCTCAGTGGCGCATGAAGCCAAAACAGCCCCTTCCCGCTGCAAAGGAACTACATGGATGAATTCGTACACTGGAGACTTTTGCTGGCAGGGGCCAACTAACTTCTGGTTTAACCCTCTGTTAACTTGAATGGAGATAAATAATTTTATGTTGCAAATCTTTTAGACTTTATAAATGTTATCGTTTTACATCCCTTTCTTTCACAATGTAACCTTATGGGTCTCTTTGAGTGCATTACGTGACTGACGACATTGCTTTAATTACACAGTTGTCAAATTGGCTTCAGAGCTTGCCGCTCTTCCTGGGGGCCTGGGCTAGCAGTGTTAGCGGTTAGCTCCTCAACGACAGTTGTATACTAACTAGTATACAAAAAAAAATCCAAATGGCTTATCCTTGTTTAACTGTAAAGAATGAACTGTATAGTGGAAATCATATCTGTCTGTATACCACTGGGCACATACTTAAATAATTACTGTGGTAAGAATTGACAAGGAGATTTGTTCAGCCAACCAGAGAGCAGCTGGTGGTGAGCATGTTTGACACGAACCCAATAATCTTCTCTTTAGATGTCACTGCTCATTTTAGACTAGAAATGCTTCCAATGTCATTAACAGATCAGCTATTCAGGAAGCGTCTCCAAGATTGTAGTGTGTTCTTCCCACCAGCCTCTGGCTTTATTAATACTGTCAAAGCTACAGAAAGAGGAAGGGAAGAAGAGACATGTTCTATGCTGGAATTAAACAGATGCATACCCAACAGTAAGATTGCTTTTAAAGTCCTGGTACGGATCTAATCTTACAACTATACATAGAATCAGATTTTTCTCTGCATCACAACCATAGAGAGCTCTACATCCTTACATATTGCAATCCAATAAGGAAGGATTTGAATTTCTTATACTACAAACTATAAAAATGTAATCCTTTTATCTTTTCCAGGTTATTATTTAACATTGAATAACATTTTTTGAATATATGCCCTGCAGTACACAAGTGTTTAAACCTATGTTTTTAACTGACTGATCTCATTGGTTGCTGTTGAAAAGGAGGAGGAAGAGGGAGATTAAACTACACAGCAGGAGACGAGGGGACATTAAGGATATAAAGATTACATAAGATGGGACAGAGGATGGAGGGGTACGGAGATATTAACAAAAGAAGGAACCAGCAGATGAGGGTAGAATAAAAGGGACTACAACATATAAGTATGTAAGAAATACTGAAGTAGTAAGACACACTTTAAAGGAATACAAAGTACAAGTCACCAGCTGTTTTTCCCAATTTTTCAAAATACCATAAAACTGGTTTTAGACACATTTGTGGAAACTGCATTTAATCTTTAAGCCTCAGATTGGCTGTTTTCCATGGCAGCAGTTGACTGACATTTGAGAGCCAGCATTCACACTGTCAACTTTATTTTGTACACTACTGACTAGAGCACATCATATATTGTATAAATACTGATACACAGCAGTGACTTCCCTTTTTTTTAAAAGCGGTAGCTATAAACCACTTGTGATTCAAGTTTTCTGTCTCTTTACAACATTAAACTTTTGGGAGGACTCATGCTGTTCTTCTCGAAAGTGGACCTGATGTTACTTTTCGTTTATGTAATTTCAACATATGCCTTTAAAGTCGGTCCGTGTATCTTTTGGTCATTCGATTTTCCTTTCAGAAACGGGTATTAAAAAACAGAAAACGAGTGGTTATTTGATTTTCGTTTTAAAATACAAAAATTAAAATTGAAATACAAGGCGTTTCTCTTTTTCATGGTCAAAAAGGGATGAGCTTTTCATTTTCTATTTCATATAACAAAAAATAAAATCACTAGAAAACAAAAAAAACAAACGGAAAAAAGGGCATTTTTTTTCATATTCTGAGACCGGATGTTGTCATTTACAGGACGGTGCTGTGTAGAAGAAACAGTAGGCTAGTAGACTGCGGTCAAGCCAGCTGTGACTCCGATCTCCGTGGTCAAATCAGCCGCACTTAAATTTCGAGTGTCCAAGTATTCTCAGCATTATGGTAAATGCGGAGAAACAGCGTATTAGTATTAGTAGACAAGTTGAAACAAACACCAATGATCTGCATTATATGCTGATTTCCAAACCAAAATACATTTTAATTAGTTTGCATTGGTGGAGTGCCAGAGCTAATGATTTCCCAAGGAACATATATGTGATCTTGATGGTTATGTTCTCATCTCCTTCTAGATAATTCAACCACCAAGATGTCTCTCATGAGCTCATTCAGCATTGTATATCCGTATGTGCAGAGGCAAGGATGAAGCAGGGTCACACATGCGACCAAAATTTTTAAGAGTGCGACTAATAATTTTTCTAGGTCACACTGGTGCACCTGACGCTGCCCGGGTGAAAACATAACACAATTTATTTCGCAAGCGCATCATCTCTCTGTGTTCTTCTGTGACCAAACTCACACACTCATGGTAGGATCATATCGTGTTCTAAACCAATAAGAGACAGAGCTCGGGTGGGTCTTTGCCTCTGATTGGCTGTGGTCCTGTTCACCGTGCTAAGTTGCGTGTGTTTAAAAATTGCGCGTGACCTTAGCGCGAGAGTAGCTGTCTAACTGAAACGGAAAAAAATTAAGAGAGGCAGAAATATTGAAAGTTTTTTCATTAAGAAAACCAAGCCTACTCCCATCCATACCCACTACTGAGAGTCCTTCCCGTCAAGACACGGAGCCCTCGGTCCCTGGTGAGATACCAAGCCCCGGTCCTTCGGCGACAGCATCAGACTCGGAACCAGAGGAGGAGACAACAGAGTCTGGGATAGAGCCCGGCTCCGAGAACCAAATTAAAAAGGCCAAAATATATTCCTTCAGACAGGACTGGCTGAAACTATTTCCCTGGCTGAGGTACAACAAAGGACGTAACGCAATGCACTGCGTGTACTGTCAGCAGTGCGGTCAGAATATGGCCGGAAATAGTGCATTCGTGAGCGGGTCAACAACGTTTCGTATTGAAACTTTAAAAAAACATAACATGTCTAAAAAACACACGATATGGCGTGACAAGTGTGTGTAGAGAAAGTGGCCCCTCTGCCAGCTGCATTTCAGCGGCAGGTAGCAGTAATCATTATTATTATCATTAATAATTATTTTACTTGAAATGTTTGAGTTTGAAATGTTCAATTTCAGCTCAGTGAAGCAATTTAAGCACAAGCACTTTTATTTGGAAATGTTTTATTTTGCTTAGTGTTTTAGTTTGAAATGTTTAATTTCAGCTCAGTGAAGCACTTTAAAAACTTTATTTTTATTTTTATATACAATTGTGCTTCAAATAAAGACAAGCATTTCTCTACACCTTATTCTTGTTTAAAAATCATTCACATTATATGAAAGTTATGGAGAGTGATAAAAAGGTGACCTTATGGCGTTAAAGGCAAGGCAATGAAAAATTTAGGTGTACCTAAATTTTGTGCTGGTGGACCTAAAAAAAAAAAGTTAGACGCACCAGTGCAACCAATGCAAAAAGTTAGTCTGGAGCCCTGTGAAGTGTTACTACGTTGGAGAAGAAAAGACTAGTTCACATACACAAGTGACGCAGCAGACAATAAAGGAAAAGCAAAAGGTTAGAAGTCATAGCACATCAATATTTCCTAACATATAGTGTAGATCCTCCTGAGCGTCATCTCAGTTACCAGAACCTGGTGTATTGATCTGTTCTGCTCTTGCAATTGACAAGGGTCACTAGAGTGTGCAGAGTCAATGATGTGTGTGTCTGTGTGCATACAGGGACACCATTAAAGATGAATGAGGACAGGATTGAAAGGGACAACAGGGATAGTATTGAACATGACCTTTTCATTATATATACTCAGGTAATTCTGTGGGCTGTTTACGTAATGGGGGATGACACATGAGCCATGAGCTAGTCTTGTCTCTGGTAGAATTTCACCTT